TTTGATCAGCTCATTAGCTATTGTTATTTCCTGGAGATTCTTCTGAGGGGAATTCTTCCGCTTGGTCATTTTGGATAGTCCCTGGCGTGGTGAGGACCTGCAGGGCACTTCCCCTGTGCTGTGGTGTATAACTGGAGTTGGTGGGCGGAGCTGCAGTCAGACCTGATGTCTGCCCCCAGCCCACCGCTGGGGCCCCAGTCAGACTGGTGCGTGCCTTCTCTTCCCCTCTCCTAGGGGCGGGATTCACTGTGGGGTGGGGTGGCCTGTCTGGGCTACTTGCACACTGCCAGGCTTGTGATGCTGGGGATCTGGCGTCTTAGCTGGGGTGGGTAGGCAAGGTGCACAGGGGCAGGAGGGGCAGGCTTAGCTTGCTTCTCCTTAGGTGATCCACTTCAGGAGGGGCCCTGTGGCAGCAGGAGGGAGTCAGATCCGCTGCCGGAGGTTTGGCTCCGCAGAAGCGCAGAGTTGGGTGTTTGTGCTGAGCGAGCAAGTTCCCTGGCAGGAACTGGTTCTCTTTGGGATTTTGGCTGGGGGATGGGCGGGGGAGATGGCGCTGGCGAGCGCCTTTGTTCCCCACCAAACTGAGCTCTGTCGTCCGGGGGCTCAGCAGCTCTCCTTCCCTTTGTCCTCCAGCCTTCCCGCTTTCTGAGCAGAGCTGTTAACTTATGACCTCCCAGCCGCTAAGTCGCGCTTGCTGTCGGAACACAGTCCGTCAGGCCCCTCCGCTTTTTGCAAGCAAGAATCGGGGGCTGTGCTTGGCCGGCGAGCCGCCCCTCCGCCCCGGCTCCCGCCCGCCAGTCCGTGGAGCGCGCACCGCCTCGCCGCCCTTCCTACCCTCTTCCGTGGGCCTCTCGTCTGCACTTGGCTCCGGCGACTCCGTTCTGCTAATCCTCTGGTGGTTTTCTGGGTTATTTAGGCAGGTGTAGGTGGAATCTAAGTGATCAGCAGGATGCGCGGTGAGCCCAGCATCCTCCTACGCCGCCATCTTCCCTCTCCAATTAATATTTAATTAAAATTCCCAAAAGGTGTATAGCTCTGTATTAGATTCCCTTTTAACGTTTATTTATTTTTGAGACAGAGAGAGACAGAGCATGAACAGGGGAGGGGCAGAGAGAGAGGGAGACACAGAATCGGAAGCAGGCTCCAGGCTCTGAGCTGTCAGCACAGAGCCCGACGCGGGGCTCGAACTCACAGACTGTGAGATCATGACCTGAGCTGAAGTCGGCCGCTTAACCGACTGAGCCACCCAGGCGCCCCTAGATTCCCTTTTAGATAATAATCTCCCTTCTGTTGAAGGAAAATCTTTGAGTCAGTTTTACTGTTAAGATAATTAGCAACCACTTGATAATTTAGTGAATTCTAGTAATGAAAAGAACATTGTCTTCTCAAAACAGCCATTAATATTACTAAAAATAATAACAGTATGTGCCAAACACTGTTTATTTAATCCTTACAATAGCCCTATGATGTAATTATCCTCATTTTATATGTGATTTGACTGGATAGCACCTATGTGCTATTATCTTAGTCTGAGTAATTCTCTTCTCTACCTCTAGACTCATCCTCAAAGCCCTGCATCCTATAGCATTTATCCTTTTCTGATATTCATAGTAGGAAACAGTTATCTCTTTTATTCTCTATGTTAGAATCTCCAGTAGGGCATTTGCCACAGTCTACCTGATTTGTCTAAAGGGTCCATTTGTATGTATATCTTCCTTGTATACTAGGTTATGATCATCTGAAGGTCAAGAACTTGAGGCTTTTCCCACCAGTTATTTGGTTGGAGTCTTGCATGTATATAATAGGCAATATATGATTATTAAAATGAATCTACTAAATGTTATCTTTGCTTACAATTTACTCAGGAATTTACTGCACAGATAAACTTACTCATGTGTCAAGTTCCATGTACATTAAGCAGTATAACTTAATGGGTAAGAGCCTGCTAAGATAGACTCCTGACTCTGATACTTCCTAGCTGTGATCTTGACTGTGTCACTTCATTCTGTGCCCTGTCTCCATCACCTGTAAATGGAAATAATAATACCTACCTCAGATGGTATCATGTGGATTAATAGAGTTCACTTTTGAAATGTATTTAAGTCTACGGCCATACCACCCTGAACGCGCCCGATCTCGTCTGAAATGTATTTAAGAGTGCTTGGCATGTAAGATACATGTAATATATACATGTAATATACATGTTATTCTTTCTTACCCTTTTTTTAAGTTTATTTATTTTGAGAGAGAGCGTGTGAGCAGGAGAAGGGCGGAGAGGGAGAGAAAGAGAATCCCAAGAAGGCTCCTTGCTGTCAGTGCAGAGCCTGACGTGGGGCTTGATCCAATGAACCATGAGATCATGACCTGAGCTGAGATCAAGAGTCAGAGGCTTAACCAACTGAGCCTCTCAGGTACCCTTCTTTCTTACCATTCTTGGCAACATTGTAATAGTAAAAAGCTGAAAACAACCTAAAAGTCTATCAGTAGGGGACAGATTAAACCAATCATAGCACTCCTATATGGACTTATGTGCAAACTTTAAAAAGATTAGGGATCCAGGGGTGCCTGGCTGGCTCAGTTGGAAGAGCATGTGACTTAATCTCAGGATCGTGAGCTCAAGCCCACATTGGATGTAAAGATTACTTAAATAAAACTTAAAAAAAATTAGGGATCCAAAGATGTATGAATGACTACTAGGTACATCAGTAGTCATCAGGGAAATGTAAATCAAGACTAATATGAAATATTACTATACATGCACAGGATGGCTATTAGATGAACAAGTGTTCATCTAGCAGGTACTGGCATGGATGTGGAGAAATTAGATCCCTACTACGTAGACAGGGGGAGGGGAATGTAAAGTAATGCAACCATTTTGCAAAACAGTTTGGTATTTTCGCAAAAAGTTAAACTCAGTTGCAAAAGGACCCAGAAATTTCCCTCTATACCCAAGAATTGAAAACCTACATCTACACAAAAACCTGTATACAAATGTTCATAACATAATTCATAAGACCCAGAAAGGATACAACCCAATTGTGCAAATGATGGAATGGATAAACAAGAGGTGGTACATACAGTGGAATATTACTTGATAAAAAGGAATGAGGTACCTACTGGTAGAGGCTGCAATATGGATGACCTTGGAAACAATACGCTAAGTCAAAGAAGCCAGACATAAAAGGCTACATATTGTATGATTCCATTTATATGAAATGCCCAGAATATGCAAAACCATACAGACAAAGTAAACTAGTGATTCCAAGGGACTAGAAGGGAAAAATGGAAAGTGACTGCTAACAGTACTGGACTTTTTCTGGGTGGGGTAATAAAAACGTTACATATGGAATTAGATAGTGATGGTTGAAGTATGATGATTACACAATCTTGTGAGTATAATAAAAGCCAGCTAGTTGTGCACTTTTTTTTTAAGTTTATTTTTTGAGAGAGAGTGCAAGTGAGCAGGGGAGGGACAGAGAGAGGAAGAGGAAGAATCCCAAATAGGCTCTGTGCCATTTAGCATGGAGCTCAATGTGGGGTTCGAACCCACAAAATGTGAGATTGTGACCTGAGCTGAAACCTAGAGTTAGACACTTAACTGAGCCACCCACGCACCCAATTATGCACTTTAAAATGACAAACTGGGGGGCACCTGGGTGGCTCAGTTAAGCGTCCAACCCTTGATTTCGGCTCAGGTCATGATCTCATTGGCATGAGATCGAGCCCCACCCCATGCTGGGCTCTGCACTGGGTGTAGATCCTGCTTGAGATTCTTCCTCTCCCTCTCTGCCCCTCCCCTGTGCTCTCTTATTTTTTTGTTTGTTTGTTTTAAAGGTTTATTTATTTATTTCTTTAGGGGGGCAGGGGCAGAGAGTGGGAGACACAGAATCCAAAGCAGGCTCTAGGCTCTGAGCTGTGAGCACAGAACCCGACGCGGGACTTGAACTCACAAACCACGAGACCATGACCTGAGCCAAAGTCGGACACTTAACCGACTGAGCCACCCAGGGCCCCCACGCTCTCTCTCTTAATAAATAAACAAACAAGTAAATAAATAAAAATTTTAAAAAACACATAAAGTAAAATTTTATCTTAATTTGAAAGAATAGGGAGGTCTGTATGAGATGATACACTCTCCAAAATATATTAAATGAAAATAAGAAGATACAGAAGAGTGTATATAATATGCTACCATATGCTTAAAGCAAATAAAGTACACAAACATACATACTTTGCAGGCATAAAATCTCTCCAAAAGAGACTTAGGAAACCAGAAACATTACTTCTTAAAGGGAGGGGATCTGGGGTGGCTGAAGAATAAGGGGTGGCCTGGAAGGGAAACCTACCTTTCCAGGATACCCTTTTGTACCTTCCAGTTTTTGTAGAGTATAAGTATTACCATTTCTTTGTGTGTGTGTGTGTGTGTGTGTGTGTGTGTTTATTTGAGATGGGGGAGGGGTGAGCGGGGGAGAGGGGCAGAGAGAGAGAGAGAGAGAGAGAGAGAGAGAGAGAGAGAATCTTCAGCAGACTGCACACTCAGCATGGAGCCCTACACAGGGCTCAATCCCATGACCCTGTGATCATGACCTAAGCTGAAATCAAGAGTCAGAAGCTCAACTGACTGAGCCGCCCAGGAGCCCCTGTGTGTTTGTTTTTTAAGCAAAGAAATAAAAATGAAAAACTCTGATGTTTTATCTTCAGTCTTAACTTTTACTTTAAGGGATCACTTTTACTTTATTCTGCAATGAACTTAAAAGATAGCCACCTGGGGCGCCTGGGTGGCTCAGTCGGTTGAGCGTCCGACTTCGGCTCAGGTCACGATCTCACGGTCTGTGAGTTCGAGCCCCGCGTCAGGCTCTGGGCTGATGGCTCAGAGCCTGGAGCCTGCTTCCGATTCTGTGTCTCCCTCTCTCTCTGCCCCTCCCCCGTTCACGCTCTGTCTCTCTCTGTCCCAAAAAAATAAATAAACGTTAAAAAAAAAAAAAAAAGATAGCCACCCATGTGGTCAGTTTTATTTATTCTTTACCTGTTGAAGCATTTAAAATGAACAGTTTTTACTATCAATCCTTAATGATATTATATATATACTATACTTGAGACTTTTGCTTTCTCATGGAGAAAGAAAGCCCACACATAAACCTTTAGGCCATCCATCTACTAGTCTTGCAGCTCAATTTTAATAAAAAAGCTTTACCGACAATTGGACAATTTATTCAATATGGCAGAGATATAACAAGAGTGGTTGTAAAGTGGCTAGTAGTCTTGTAATTTAGGAGCTATGATCCTTAATCCACTGCTCAATCCACTTCAATATCTGATTGATGTTATCCTCTAGATCTTCTGGTTTATTGCTGGGCAGCTGATGTACTATTTCTTCCTTGTAGGATGCTAATGCTTCTTCATAAAGAACTTGAAAAATTTCACACTGAATATTATCTTTTAGTTTCTTCTCATTATAACCCCTGGAAGGCAATGAGAAGATAAAAAAAGAGCAAAATGAATGGCATTAACTGGAGTTTTAGGAACACAAGAGAAACCGGACACTTTTAAATACATGAAATATCATGCAAAAATACTTCTTGTAGTCTATTTATTTAAATAAAATAGACTGGCACCTGTAAATATGAGACTTTTTTTTAGTTATTTATTTTTTTGATGTTTATTTATTTTTGAGCAAGAGACAGAGAGTGAGCAGGGGAGGGGAAGAGAGAGAGGGAGACAAAGAATCTGAAGCAGACTCCAGGCTCTGAGCTGTCAGCAGAGAGCCTGACATGGGGCTCGAACCCATGAACCATGAGATCATGACCTGAGCCAAAGTCGACTGAGCCACCCAGGCGCCCCAATATGAGACTTTTTTAAATATATACGGTTTATTGAGAGACAGAGAGAGAGATCATGAGCAGGGGAGGGGCAGAGAGAGAGGGAGAGAGAGAAAATCCTAAACAGGCTCTGCACTGTCAGCAAAGAGCCCAAATGCAGGGCTTGATCCCATGAACTGTAAGCTCATGACCTGAGCCCAAGTCCTATGCTTAACCAACTGAGCCACCCAGGTGCCCTGAGAGGCTTTTTTGACAAGAAGTTAAAACTAATATCCAATGTTTAGGTTTGTCTTAATTTCGGCCCCCAAAATTTGTCATCCATTCCATTAGCAAACATATCTACCTACCTCAAGCCAGATATTGAGCTATGAGATAAATAAGAAGTATAGAGCTTTGGTCCTAGATTTCAAAAGAAATTAGAGGAATTAAGATATAGACAGATAAAACAACGAGGTAGTGTATAAAAATGAAATACTTATGGGGGGCCCCTGGCTGGCTCCAGTGGGTGGAGCATGCAACTCCTGATCTTGGGGTTGTAAGTTCCAGCCCAGTGTTGGGTGTAGAGATTAGTTAAAAAATAAAATCTTAGGGGTGCATGGGTGGCTCAGTCAGTTAAGTGTCTGACTCATAGTTTCAGCTCAGATCATGGTCTCACAATTCATGAGATCAAGCCCCACGTTTGGCTGTGTGCCAACAGTGCAGAGCCTGCTTGGGATTCTGTCTCCCTTTCTTTCTGCCCTTTCCCAGCTCACACTTGCCCTGTCTCTTCAAAATAAATAAACTTTACAAAACATAAAAAATATTTTAAAAAATTAAATACTTATGATAGGAACACTATATACTAATTGGGTACTTGATCATACAGATAGATGTATCTGTGCTTTACCAATTCCAAAGATGTAAAAACAATTAACTTACATTATCTTTAGGCAGATATGTAAATTAGCCAACTAATTAATTAGCTAATGAAAAAGATTTTTAAAAATTCATATTAGTTCAACCTTGTAACAATCAAGAGTAAATTGAATTACTTATGGGGTGCCTAGATGGCTCAGTCAGTTAAGCATCTGACTTCAGCTCGGGTCGGGTCATGATCTCCCGGTTCATAGGTTTGAGCCCTGCATCTGGTCCTGTGCTGACAGCATGGAGCCTGAAGCCTGCTTCAAGTTTTGTGTCTCCCTCTCTCTCTGTCCCTCCCCCACTCACACTCTGTCTCTCTCTCAAAAATAAACATTAAAAAAAAAAAGTAAATCGAACTACTGAAGGATGATTAACTGTATGAAAACATAACCAACAGAATGAGAGAAAATTTTTGCAAATCATGTATCTGATAAGGGATTTGCATCTAAAATACACAAAGAACTCATAACTTAATTAAGAAGGAAGCATAACCCAATAAAAAACTGGGCAAAGGATCTGAAGAGCTATTTCTCCCAAGAAGACAGACAAATGGGCAATAAGTACATGAAAAGATGCTCAATATCATTAGCGATCAAGGAAATGCAAATCAAAACCACAATGAGATACTACTTCATACCCAATGGGATGGCTACAATGGATGGAAAGACATAACAAGTGTCCATGAGGATGTGGAAATACTAGAGCCTTCAAACACTGCTCTTAGGAAGGCAAATTGGTACAGCCACTTTGGCTAACAGTCTAACGGTTCCTCAAAAGGTTAAACATGGAGTTTATTTTATTACCCAGCAATCCCATTCTTAAACTTCATATCCAAGATAAATGAACACAATGTCCACATAAAATCACAGGCACAGGGGCGCCTGGGTGGCGCAGTCTGTTGGGCGTCCGACTTCAGCCGGGTCACGATCTCGCGGTCTGTGAGTTCGAGCCCCGCGTCGGGCTCTGGGCTGATGGCTCAGAGCCTGGAGCCTGTTTCCGATTCTGTGTCTCCCTCTCTCTCTGCCCCTCCCCCGTTCATGTTTTGTCTCTCTCTGTCCCAAAAATAAATAAACGTTGAAAAAAAATCACAGGCACAAATATTCACAGCAGTATTATTTACAACAGCCAAAAAATGGAAAAGACCCAAATGTCTATATTCTGGTAAGTAGATAAAAACAAAGTATTGATACATGCTGCAACATAGATGAACTCTGAAAACATTATGTTAAATAAAAGAAGCCAGACACAGAAGATCATGTACTGTAAGATTTCTTTTACATAAAATGTCCAGAATAGGCAAATCCAAAGAGACAGAAGGTCAATTACTGGTTGCCTAGGGCCAGGGGACTGAGAGGAAATATGGGGAGTGACTGCTAATGGGCACAGGTTTTTGGGGAGGAGGGAGACAATGAACATTTTCTAAAATTGGCTGTAGTAACGGATGCATAGTTCTGTGAATATACTAAAAACAAATGTGTATACCTCTAATGGGTGAATTGTATGTATGTGAATTTAGCTCAGTAAAGCTATTATTTTTTTTAAGGTGATTGATTACTTTGTAACTTTTTCAATGGCTAAAAACAAGACAAGCTCTCTTAAATTTTTTCATATCTTAGTCTTTGGCTATTTATATAAAACAGAAATCTTTTTTTTTAAGATTTTATTTATAAGTAATCTCTATACCAAAGGTGGGGCTTGAACTTACAACCCCAAGATCGAGCGCAGAATGCTCCACTGACTGAGCCGGCCAGGTGCTCCAAAACAGTAAATTTCTTCTTTTACAGATTTTAAGTAATCTCAACACCCAATATGGGGCTTGAACTTAAAACCCTGAAATCAAGAGTTGCATGGTCTACCAACTGAGCCAGCCAGGTGCCCCAAAACAATAATTTTTAATAAAAAATTTAAATTGTTTGGTTTGCAGAAAGGAATGTGTACCATATGGTCTCCATTACTTCTCTGTTAAAACACTGTTAATGTCTTTTCTCTGCCTAAAAAAGACGATTACGGTTTTAGGTCTAGCTCCAACTTTCCCCATATATTTGCTACTATACTCCTTGGTGTAAGGATTTTACAAGTATCCTATGCAGTGATGGTTAGTCAGAGCTGACTACTGTCATGGAGAACTACGAATTCTAAACCTGAACTCAGGGAAACTTTTGAAGCGTTCCTTCTGAGATTGCCCCATAGATCCTCTAGAACCTCCATTTTCCTACAGCTTGACTCAAAAGACAGTGGAAAAATGTTTCCCATAAAAATTCCTCTTTTTTGTTTATTCTGGATTAAGTCTGATGCTCTCTTTGAGGGACCAACTCAAAATATATTTTAAAGGTTGGAAATGTTGATTTATCTTGTCAGTTTTTCATAAACTTTCCCATTCATGTTGTGCAGATACTTTGAGTGGGTAATGTACATTCAGGAGTCAGAGTATGTTATTGGCTTGGTTGTTTTCCCAGGAAGGTTTTACATTAAGGAAACATGACTAAATAGAGTTGCTGTGACAGTATATTTTATTTAATGAAACTGTCAGTTGCAGTATTCATTTACTCAGTTATAAACTATTACCTGTGTTGTACAAATGCATCTTTTTCTCTTAGATTCAGAGCGTTGGTACCATACAGACTTGGTTTATAATGAGAGACCAATAGTCACATATTCGAAAGGAATCCTTTATCATGGTTGTACTGGCTAATTTCAGGAATCTGAATAAAGGGTTATATCATACTTTAAGAATTCAGTGTTTTTCCTTTCTTACCTTGTTTCAAGTCTTTTGTACAATACACTGTTATCTGCTCGCAGCACAAAAACTATGTGAAACCAGCGTTCAGGGAAGAAATCACAACCATGGTAATCAACAATAACTCCACCTTCACTCATTTGGTTTTCTAATTCATCAACTACCTGTAAGAAAGGGACAAAAAGAATGCTCCTTTTAAAAAAAATGAAGTCAACTTTCCTATTAAATTTTTAGGAGTATACTTTATAAAAAACTTGTACTTACTCTATCTTCATCTAAAATGGGGCAATCATACTCTTCATCATAGCCATCATATAACTGCCCTAAAAGAGATTTACACTGGCTTATTAAACTAGTATTTTATAAGTAACTGTCAGTAACTTTCAATTAATTTTAGACTTTAGGAAAGGAAATATACCATCAATTACTCTTTGAGAGACTAGAGAGGGCACTAACACACAGCAGATGTCACACGGACACCAAATGTAAAGAGCAATGCTGATTAAATCAGAATTTTACCTAGAGGGAAACTTGGATAGCAATATATCTGATACAATTTTAGCTATCAAAATTGAAACCAACTAAAAAAAATGAATGATTTCAGAATTTGTGGGACTAATAGAAAAGGACTGCATTATTTTTGTTAAGCTATTTGGTGGGAAGAGGGGACACAGGGATACAGACACTCGCACACATTAACAATAGATTATCAAATATTTTAGGCTAAGGAGATGGAACTTAGTAGAAGCAACAACAGTTTCTCAATTCTAAAAATGAGCCCTCAGTCACACAGGTCCCATCTTCGTGGGGTCTGGGAAAGGAGAGTCAGTTTGACCCAAGTGCTCCTGAACAGTATTTTTACTTCTAGATTTCCAGGATCCTCAAAACCCATGGGTCGAATAAACATTTCAGGAGGCAAAACAAGAATGATGGGCAGTTATAAAGAAGGCAGATTTAAATCTCATGTAAGAATTTTCCAACAAATCAAAGCTGGCTTTCAAAGGAAGTCTTGCTTTAGAAGGTAAGACATAATCCTATGCTCACCTAAATCTCTAAGAAATATGTAATAAGGCTTAGACCATCCTTTGAGCCATCTGTAAGAGCATGCTATAGTCCTCCCACATCTTTCCCTCCAATATTTTGGCCCAGGTTGAAATTAGTTTAAAATGAGCATGAGTTCTGAAGTAATAAAAGGGTAGTTCTGAGGGTCAATGGGAGGCACAGAGACAGTTGCAACTTTTTGTCCTGCCAGGACAGTGTATGGACTCATTCTGGCCATGTGAGCACCTCTCAAGCACCTCCCTGTGTCATCTGCTTCCCTGGATTACTGCGCAATTACCAGATACTCTAGCTAAAAAAATTAAACTGTCTTGGTATTAGGAAAATTGGATAATGATTTACAAATAATCTAAATCCTGTATACTATAAATTGGATTAAAGAGCCAATTGTTTAATTCAAAGACAATTAGTGGAAAATTTAATCTGTAAAGGAATGATTCATTTGAGTTTGTTCATTTTAAAACACATAAAATGCTAAATCTCTGTTCAGTGAAAAATAATGTAGCAATAAAAACAACTACTGGGAGAAATTTTTGTAGTAGGACAAAGGCCTGAAATGTAGATTACATAATGACCTTCAAAATCAAGATTAAAAATACGTACCTTAACCAAAAAGAATTCACACACAATGAAAATAATTAATAAACATACGATGAAAAAATGTTGGACTTTCCCAGCTATTAAAGAGATATAAATTAAAATTACCCTTTTTATGCCTGTTGCATTAATCATATATGTATATAATAAATTGGAAATGTATTTCAAAAATAATTTTAGGGGTGTCTGGGTGACTCAGTTGAGTGTCCAACTTCGGCTCAGGTCATGATCTGATCATCAGTTCATGGGTTTGAGCAGTGCGTCCTGCTCTATGCTGTCATCATGGAGCCGGCTTCAGATCCTCTGTCTCCCCCTCCCTCTGTACCTCCCCACTCACACTCTCTTAAAAATAAAGAAGACAGGGGCGCCTGGGTGGCGCAGTCGGTTGAGCGTCCGACTTCAGCCAGGTCACGATCTCACGGTCCGTGAGTTCGAGCCCCGCGTCGGGCTCTGGGCTGATGGCTCAGAGCCTGGAGCCTGTTTCCAATTCTGTGTCTCCCTCTCTCTCTGCCCCTCCCCCGTTCATGCTCTGTCTCTCTCTGTCCCAAAAATAAATAAAAAACATTGAAAAAAAATTTTTTAAAAATAAAGAAGACATTTAAAAAATAATTTTAAAAATAAAAATGTCATACCCATTCATAGATTTCCTCTACCATTTAATTTCTAGCCAGAAAAAATTTTAAGTGATAAACATTCAACAATAGGAAAAACTTAAATCTCGGTTTACTAGTTTGATGAAATATTATGTAATTAAAGTTAAAAAAATAAATATTAGGTAGTATTATGTAGTATGGACTAGGTCACACATGATAAATGCTTATGACACAAAGGGTAAAACATAAAAAGCAGAATTCAAAGTTGTAATAGGGCCAAAGATCAGAAATACAAAAGATGGAAATAAATTAGGATTTGGAGTACTTTTTTGGTGTATTATTTTTACAATGCACAAAATCTAATACCTACTGTTGATTCCATACTATGTAGGAATCTGCAGTAGATAAATACTGAGGTTCCTTCATATTTTAAATCCTTAACTCTCAAGACTAGTGAAATCGTTAAAAAATATCCTATCTTGAGTCAGAATTAAAGTCTTTATACCGCAATGCTGAAATGCAGGATTTCTTAAATCATGTTAATGTAGTTGAATAGTGTAATCCAACCTTTAAAACATTCATTTCAAAAAACACCTATCAAATACCTACCATGTACAAGTGCCTGTAGGGATAATAAGGATTTAATAATGAGCACAATGACCAAGAAGGCAAACGTAGTCTTTCCCTTAAAGAGTTTATAATAAAATTAGAGAGGACAAAGTAACCTGGAAATTATAATAGGATAATACTTTAAAAGTGGAACATTAGGGAAGGCTTCCTGGAAAAAGTGACTTTTAAGTGGCGACTTGAAGCAGGTACCTAGGGAAAAAAGGGAGGGATGACTATTTTCAACAGAGAAAAACAATATTCAAAGGCAGAGAGAATTAAGAGGGCAAGACTCAAGGGAGGGAAAGTTTCTTAGACTATGTATAAAATAGGTGATAAAGGGTCAGGTAAATTGAGGCCAGATCAAAAAGGGTTGCAGAGTTAGACGTAACCTAAGGCAAAGTAAAATCATTAAAACATTTTAAGCCTGAAATGACAGGATCAATTACAAATTTCTAAAAATTATTTTGGTTTCTCCATAGAGAATAAGAAGGAAGCAAATCCAGAAACAGGGATACCAGATCAAGGCTACTGCAGAATTTTAGCTGAGTGATAATTATAACCTGTACCATAGGGAATGGAGAAATGGATTCTAAAGTTCATTTTAGGGGCGGCTGGGTGGCTCAGTCAGGTAAGCGTACAGCTCTTGATTTCACCTCAGGTCATGATCTCATGGTTTGTGAGATCAAGTCCTGCATTGGACTCTGCACGGGCAGAGCAAAGCCTATTTGGGATTCTCTCTTTCCCTCTCTCTCTGCCCCTCCCCGGCTTGTGCTTGCTCTCAAAGAAAAAAAAAAAAAAAATCCTTTAAAGTTCATTTCAAATTTCATTGGGTCCCTGGTGACTCAGTCAGTTGAGCATCCAACTTTGGATCAGATCATGGTCTCTGAGTTCGGGAGTTCGAGTACCGCGTCAGGCTCTCTGCTGTCGGTGCAGAGCCCACTTGGCATCCTCTGTCCCCCTCTCTCTGCTTCTCCCCTACTTGTGCCCTCTAGCTCTTAAAAATAAACATTAAAGGGTGCCTGGGTGGCTCAGTCAGTTGAGTATCCGACTTTGGCTCCAGTTATGATCTCACGATTCGTGGGTTCGGGCCCCGTGTCATGCTCTGTGCTGACAGCTGAGAGTCTGGAGCCTGCTTCCTTTGTCTCTCTCTCTCTCTAGCCCCTCCCCTGCTCATGCTCTGTCTGTCTCTGTCTCTCAACAATAAATAAATGTTAAAAAAAAAAAAAAAGTTAAAAAAAAACATTTAAAAAAAGTTCATTTCAAATTTCTGAAAAAAACGGAAAAACGTATGCTACTTTATTATTTTTTTATGTATGCCACTTTACAAAGTTTCAGTTGGAAGTCAAATTTAGAGCTAAGTACAGGATCCTAATCTAGAAACGATAAAAAGGCTTGAATTGATTAACCTACCAAAAGCTTAGAAAATTCAATTTTCTCAACAAAGTTTTATGATTTAAAGTTAGTTGCAGAAAACAAATTGTGGGGCCAAAGTTAAATGGCTTAAGTTCTTACCTCAAAAGATATTCCTACCTGTTGTTAGTCAAGCAATAAAATCATTACATTTTAACTGCCCTCCTAGAGTTTATACTCACATGAAAGCTGTTCTTTAATGATGTTGGATGCTAACTATTTCGTTGCTATTGCCAATATTTAAAACATTTTCAGATTTCTTTGTTTTTTTTTTTTTTTTTTTTTTTTTAAGTAAGCTCCATGCCCAATGTAGGGGTTGAACTCACAACCCTGTGATCTTGAGTCCCATGCTCTACAGACTCAGCCAGCCAGGCACCCCCTCCCCAACCCCGATTTCTTACTTTGAAAAATTTACATTTACCTCAATCCAACAAGAAGCTTATAACTGTAATGCAATTAGTACAAGAAGCTAATTGGTTTAGAAAGATATAGTGCTTTGATACCTGACCTTTTATGTAGAGAAAAGCACAATAAATCCTACTTAGAGGTTAGTGAGCACCAAAGATGTGACATTTGAGTTGGGTCTTTCTCTCTTTTTTTAAGAATCTCAAGCACGATCCACGCTTAGTGCAGAGCCTGGCGCAGGACTCCATCCCACAACCCTGGGATCATGACCTGAGCGGAAATCAAGAGTCAGCCACTCAACTGAGTCACCCTGGCGCCCCCCTTGAGTTGGGTCTTTTAAAGAGTTGTTTAAAAGGAAGATTAAAAAAAAAAAAAAAAAAAGGCAGATAAGGGCATCTCCAGGTAAAGGGAACAGCACTTGTAAAGACCTGGGGGTCAATTCCCAGTGAGGAACAAGCGCACTGTGCGCAGAATGAAGGGAACCTAGGGGAGTGGCTGCAGGTAAGGCTAAAGGTAAACTCAAACCAGTTCATAATCCATACATTACAGATGATGGACTTTATCAGAAAAAGTTCAAGTCTTGTTTATTCCCTCTCCCTCTTCTTTATAAAGGACATAATAATGGCATAGAAGAGGAAAAGATACTAAAGAGTAGGAGATTTAGGAGAAATGAGCTTGAAAATAGGATAGGGATACCATAGGGATTTTTCAGGCAAACCACCAAGATTTACGGGGCAAGTGGATCTGTGTTAGCATGTTTGTGTTTCTATGCGAGGGGAACAAGAATCAAGTATAAGCAAGTAGTCAGGATTTCAGAGCATGTGCTTCTTAAATGTTTTAGTTTGTGAAAAGGTCTGGCAACTGTCAAGAAGGTGATACCTTTAGTAGGTGTCTAGAAATTGGGATCTTGAAAAAAAAATTTTTTTAATGTTTATTATTGAGAGACAGAGACAGAGCATGAGCATGGGAGGGGCAGAGAGAGAAGAGGAGACACAGAATCCGAAGCAGGCTCCAGGCTCTGAGCTGTCAGCAGAGCCCGACACGGGGCTCAAACTCACGGACTGTGAGATCATGACTGGAGTCGAAGTTGGACACTTAACCGACTGAGCCATCCAGGTGCCCCGAAACTGGGCTCTTTTAAAAGGGAGTAACTAGTCCAGAGTGAATGAGATTACTAAAGGGAGGGGCAAAACTACAATACAGCTGCAGTGAAATTATGGGGGAAGATGTGTATGTAGGAGGATCACATGCAGACTGGGAGAGAGCAGTGTTGGAGGGGCCACCAGGGAGGTTAGCTTCAGAGCCTTCCAGGGGTGGCTTCCAGTGGAGGAAAAAAAATGGGATAAAGAGGTTAGAGCGGGGATAGCAAGCGTTTTCTGTAAAAGGCCAGATAGCAAACACTTCATGCTTCGTGCGCTAGTCTTCAGCTAATGTGGTTTCTATAAAAAACAGCAGTTTGTCAACTCCTGGATTAGAAAGAGATCAAGATTTTAAGCGCTGAGGGCTCAGCTATGCATAACAATGTTCCAAATGGACCCAACATTAATAGAATTATATCACTTTGTCTAGACATATGGGGATCCTGGGGAGGCTGAAGACTGATAAACTTGTGGCAGGAAAATTAAGGACGCTGTTAAGTAATTAAGTGATTGCATAAGGGAAAGTAAGAATCTGAGCCTGGAGTAACAGGGTAAAAAAGCATTCTTAGCCATACCATATTTAGGACTCCCCATTTTATTAAGCTTAATTCCTTACCTAATTTTTCCTACCTTGGTTCCACATGGCATAAGTCTCTTACAAATGATATAGCAACTCAACAGGTTACTAGAATGGCAATAAATTCTATTTAGACAGATTTATTTAAAACAAGTGGGTTGTTTTTGGTCTTATTGCTTTATAGCAGGGTTCTCAATCTCAAATACTGACGTTTTGAGCTTGATAATTCCTTTATGGGAACGGAGGGTTATTCTGCGAATTGTGGGATGTTCAACAGAATCCCTGGCTTCCACTCCAGTCCTGACTACTGAAAGTATTCAGAAATTGCCAAAAGTCCCCTGAAAGGCAAAAATCACACCTAGTTGGGAACCACTCCTTTACAGATGATTACATGGTTTCTCTTAAAATACATCACTATTTGAGAAAAATGAAAAGGTAGGGGTCTCAGTATATTTTCTAGTTAAGATTTTCAGATATATTCAAATAGCATCTGTAGAAAAGAACAATCTGGTACATTATGAAAAACCCTATAGAGTACTTTATCTAACACCATGTTAAGAGAGACCAGAAATCCTTTATCTGGCGTTATGGGAGAAGTGGGGGAACCCAAGGCTTAGATTCTATCTTATGAAACAATCTCATCAATAAAATACAGAGGACATTTGGGACTATATACTCCATTAGGTGTACATACACTGGCTAAAAGTGTTGAGTACAAGTACACCAGGAACCAATTGTCTAGTGTTATTATTCCTCTCATACTATTCGTGATAAATTATATAGCAACTTCATTACATTTAGAAATGTTAAAGTCAGTGGCTAAGAGAAACTGGAAGACTGAAACTGACAACTGTATGGGACTGTGAAATCACTTGTCAAATTCAACAGGCAAAGGAAGAAAACCAGATTTTATATAGGTATAAAATGGGGAGACTGACTAGCCTTGTACAACAGCAAATATCTAAATTTTATGAACTATAAATACCAGACCTGGATTAAAATATCACCATGAGTGACATCTGGATGGCTCAGCAGTTAAGCATCTGATTCTTGGTTTAGGCTCAGGTCATGATCTCATGGTCATGGGATGGAGCCCCACATCAGGCTCCAGGTTGAGTGTGGAGCCTCTTTGGGATTCTCTCTCCCTCTCTCTCTCTGCCTCTTAGTTGAGTGTGTACGCACGCACTCTCTCAAAACACTGAAAAAAAATATGAGCATGATACTTATAGCATCAAGAATATGACAAAGCTAAGATGTACAAAACTGACCTGCAAAAAAGGATACTGGGGAAAAAAAGATATTGCGGGGAAGGCAAGTGAGCAAGGGGCAGAGAATCCCAGGAGCAGCAGGAGCGGGGGGGGGGGGGGG